TATAAAAACTAAAGAAATGGACAAAAGAATTTGAGATATGAGAGATGATGATTTTGAGCTTACCTCGATAAGGTATTTATACTCTACTAAAACCCTAAAAATAAAGAAAGAAATAACAAAAACTAATTCTTGAAAAAATATTCAAACTTAATCCTAAAAATAAAAAATAATTCCTAAATACAAGAGATAATCCTAATTTAAAATTCTGATTTGCGACTGAGTCTCCCATCTTCACGAAAATACTGACTAGGCTTTATAAAAGATGCTGACTGGATGCCACGTCACACGTAGGCATGCCCAAAGTCATGCCCACTAAGCCGGCCTTGATTCCAGAAAATAAAAAAAATATATAGGATTTCATCTCGTTTAGCACCATTTTTTGGAATCTACTGTCCTACATAGAAAATGAACGAAAACGCCCAAATCAACAACTTAAATTGACTAATCAAAGAGTAATTATCAACAAAATATTAACTAATTTAAGCACTAATCAATAAAGTTCTAGGGGGAGAGAACAAATAAAATAGTAGTAAGTGAGGGAGTGATCTCCCCTACTAGTGTTATAACTGTTAATAATGATAAAATAACCTCATGATAATAATAGTATATATTTGATAACCATAAGAACCTTATGAGGTAAGATTCCATTAGACTTATGTCTTTGTTTGCTACTCAGGAAACGATGTGGACACCCGAGTTACTTTTATGTGTGTGACGATCGTCCAATTGTTTGAGAAATATTCAAATATATCCAAAACAGTTAGAGGACATTTTAAACGCTAGTTGGATGTAGGCTCTGATGCTATGTGACCCGGAGGCATCCCAAGTACTCTGAGGAGTAGACTAGCTAGGCAAGGTGTCGATGTGGTGTGACCCAAACCTAACCTAAGTTATTTGGGATGTGTTGATGTTGTGTGACTCAGACCTCGCCTGAGCTACTTGGGAGATGTTGATATTGTGTGACTCAGGTCTTGCCCAAGGTACCTCTAGTAAGCAAATAGGGGTGTGGGTTTTATGATTCTATATGATCCCGAGCTACACCATGATGCTTACTTGTTGTTGTGTGGTTGTACCTGGCGTCCTTGTGATACCGGGTATTGTCATTGTGTTGCGTGATGATGCATAGTAGGATGATACTAAGGTTAGAGACCTAGTATATGTTTACTCATGACGAAGCCCTTAGTAGAGACTAAGGGAAGTGTGAGACTTACACTAAAGAGGTAGAATTGCCGAGCCTTGAATAGGTAGCACTTGATTAGGATCATGTTTGTACCTACTTCTTATTACCATGTCTTCTAGCATGCTTATGTCTGTGAGATTCATATGTTACTCTAGATTAGCGATTATACTACTGGGCTTTGTAAGCTCAACGTTGAATGTTATGTTCTTAGGTTAGTATATCAAGTCGTTCAAGGAGCACCGTCGCAGCAGGACTTCTAGCATTCCTCACACAGTATTGCTTGGTTACTTGTAATTGGCATGTGTATTAATAGGACCGTTACTCATGTATTTGGGATTAGTAAACTCTCTAGTTGTATTATTTCATTTAAATTATGTGTCATAGAGATCCGATTTTAGAAAAAGTATTTTATTATTGTATTTGAATTATTGGTTTTAAATGATGGCTATGGTTATTGATTTCAAAAAAATGGTTAGTCATTTCGGTGGTTCCATATGACATTCTAATCGTCCAGATTTTAGATTATATTGGATTAGGGTGTTACAATTTGATCATATTTAACTTTAAATAAACGATAATGATTCTATTTTTATTCAAACTCTCATACATTTACATTTACATAACTTTACAATAACAATGATCATTCTTCAACTCTAATGAAATGTGGATATCGCATGAACTATCAAATAGTCTATATTTTCCTATGATACTCTCCAACAATGGTAAAAATCTTTCCAATTGTTTAGACTTTACTTTCATAACAAAGTTTATTTATTTTTTATAAGAACTGGAGGTTTCGTTAAAAATCTCCTTCATATCAAACAACATACACGGGTGTACATCGTCGAATAGCGAAAGGAGAAAAAAAGTACCTAATAATTTTATTCTATAAACCAACATTCTAATACAACCAGCACAGAAAGAACTTACAATTACAAATCAGAAACTAAACAACAAAAGCTCGTCCAGAGTAGTTTAACACTCAAACAAAGAATCAACTCATTCCTTTTATAGCCAACCCATCAGTCAAGTGTTTTCACTTCTATGAATAAATTGCACAATAACAGCCCTTTCCATTACCAATAGAGCAATCTTACGTACACAAGTGGAGAAGATCGGTGCAACGAAGAAAGGGGTTGCGATCCAGCCAACTACAGGTTTACAATCGCTTTCCAAAATCGAATGAAGCTTATCGCACTCAATTAAAGAATAAGATAGAATTAACCCGAACTTCATTGTCAATAATTCGACAAGAATAAGAGGACTCGGGCCAATAAATTAAAAAAAAAAAGAAGCTAGACTTTTACTGTCAGAATTTCTAAGAATTTCATCAATACCACCTACACTCCCATCGCTTAACATCGCACAACAACAAAGTTTATTTCTCAAGTGTCGTATGAGTAATATGTTATTGTTTAATATCTTTCTTGTAAAGGAACATGAATTAATTAAAAATAGACATTGAAATCATATAATTTAACATTAATGAGCCATCAAAATCTTATACATTGTCACACAAAAAATGTAGTCTTGAGTACTGTCATAACTGTTTTTAGGTTGGAACAATTATTTATTATTTTAAAAATAGTTACGACTTTTAATTTTGGAAAATGAGTATTTTTAATTAAATTGGATAAAATTGGGTAGAGTCACCATCAACCTTTGGGTTAGGGAGGTCGAATACTTAAAAAACGTCTTTTAAAACAATTTTAAGAAAAATCATTTTTTAAGAAAAAAGTTAGTCTGCGTTTACCAAAGATTCGATTAAAACGGGTTCGGAAGTCGGTTACACGTGGGGAAGGATTAGCACCCCCACAGCGTCCAAAATTGGTACTGTTTCGCTTACACGTTGTCGTAATGGTGGAAATCCTGAGTCAAATATCAAGTTAAAATATGATCCATTTATTAAATATTAATAACTTGCTTCAAATTAATTAATTAAAGAAACTATTTATTTGAATAATAAATCTAGCAAAAACATGAACTTAAAGGATTAAATGGTAAAAACATAAACTCAAAAGGCTAAAATAACTAAAACAAAAATTTAAATGATATATATAGCAAAAACAGAAACTTAAGTGACTAAAATAAAATAACAGAAACTAAAGTGTCAAAATCAAGAAAACATATATATTCATATGCGGGAATGAAAAACACACATAAAAGTTCAGGGATTAAACATACATTATACCAAAAATACATAACATGTGTCATAAATGATTCACCGACCATCGTGTTGCTGCGCTGTCGTGCCACCGTCCGATCGTCCTGAAATTTCAATATGTTGTTCATGTTGACCTCGCGCACCTTTTGATCGTTCGAAATGTTGATCGCAGTACCCAATCGTCGGCGAGAGGCCAAAAACAGTTCGAATTTATTTTCTCTGATTCACCACGTCCATCGTTGATCATCCTCAAATTTCAGTATGTTGTTCGTGTTGACATAACACAACTTTTCACCGTTTGGAATGTTGATCAGAGATCCGATCACCTGTAAGAGGCCAAAAATCGTTCGGCTTATTTTCTTCAATCCATCGCCGTCCACCGTCTGATCGTCCTGAATTTTCAGTATGTTGTTCGTGATGGTCTTGCGCAACTTTTAACCGTTCGAAATGTTGGTCGGAGATTCCAATCACCGACGAGAATCCAACAGAATCATTGAAGCTTTTTTCCTTTTCTCTCTCGTATCTGGCTTCCCACGTTTTGCTCCCCTGGTGTATTATTTGGTCTCCACCCCCCTCCCCACGTTTGGCCCCCTCTTTTATTTATAATTACTTCATGGTGGTGGTAAAGGGTGGTGGGAGAGTTAGGTTTGATTTTTATATTGTTTTAGTGGTTTAAGTGGGATTTGGGTGGGTATTAATTTATTTAGTGTTTAGGTATGGTAATAATAATTATTAATAATAATAATAAATACAAATAATAATAATAATAATAATAATAATAATAATATTTTTTAAAACTCGGACAAAAATGGGTGTCTAAAAGTATCATTCAAATAAATTACATATTTATTTTTTAAATCTAAACTAAATTATATTTTTTATTCATGTACATTTTGGTTTTACCTAGAATTCTTGTTTACATTGTTAATATCACGAACTTTACACATCTATTATAGATTATTTAGAATTTATTTTAAATATTGCTTACATTGTTTATATTGCTTTATTTTTCTAGTATTAATTAATCTTTTATCTTTTATTTTTTAGTGCATAATAAAATTTAACTTCAGAACTGATCACATATCATTTAAGTAATATAATTAATCATTTATCATTTAAATGGTAGAAGAAAACATATATTATACAAGTTGTAGTATCGACTGTATATTAATTTTTTTAAACCCATACTTTTTGCAGTTTTTAACCTCTTACAATAATGATAACTCTCACTCATATTTATAGATTTTAGTAGTCATTAGACTGTTGATACATGTCAATATCTTAGCCATATAAATATTAATATTACTTTTAAAAAATTATAGATATAATATTAAATATTATAAATATCTAGATTATTTTTTAGATATTTCTAGTCATATATTATTTCTATATTATTCTAGGATATTCTCAAAAATATTTCTAGTAAATGATAAATATAGATTTATCCAAAAGTCGCAATAAAATAAAAGTCTAGTGCAATAAGTGAATTGATTTAAAATTCAAAGATAAAATCAATACATTCATTAAAGTTCAATAGCATCTGATATAGTTTACCTCATTGAATCTTAATATTAGAAACAGACAAATTAGATTAAAATTATCCTTATTTCTTCCTCTTTGTAATTGTTCTTATTCCAACATAAAATTCTTAAAACCTTAAAAATCAAAATATAGGCTCTGATCAAATTTATGCAATGGAGAAGAAGTATGCATTTCATTATTTCCTTCACTGCCCAAACCACTACTTCCGATACCACTTGGGGCCAAAATTGGCCAGCAATTGCTGCACTCAACCGCTGCCTGCAGCAAATCAGCTTGTTTCTCCACATTCATCTTCAGCTCCTGGAGCGCATTTCTCAGCAACTGAAGCTCACTCGATCCGAGTTCATCGATCGGAGCTTGCCACCACCATTGCCTTTGGCCAGCTTTCCTTACTTCATCGAGTGCTTGTCCCTTTCTTTTTTCGACTTCCAAAATGTCAACGAGTTGAGCTAGATGTGCATTAAGCTCACGGATGTTAGCATCTCGATGAGCTTCGACGACATTGTACGACGCGTTAAAGTTATGAACCGAAGGGCTTCGAGTGAGGAACCGGTCGATGGTGGACTCGACTTGAGGGTGGCCGAAAGAGAAGACCTTGCCAGCAGGGGAAAAGACTACGATCGCAACTTCGACTCCACAAAGTGTGCAAAGTTCACTGGCCTTTTTAAAAAGTCCGGAACGACGTTTGGAGAAGTTTACTTGAAGATTATTTTTCTTTGTTATCTTCTTCATTTCGATCTTCCGGCGACCCTGGATCGAAACCATTGTTGAAGAAGATACAAAATCAAAGATGGACGTATGGGGATACTTATAGTAGAATTAAAACCAAGATTTTGCATTCATCAAGAATCAGATTTCAGCTAGTCTTCAAGTAGAATTAGTCAAAGAAAACCGTTTTACAATGAAAATTAAAGCAATTTTGAGCATTTACTTGTAAACTGTTCCCCAACGATTATAACACGATCAAGCTTTTACTTCATGGAGGAACGGGTGGACATTTATAGATTTTTTACCGTCCAAGTTCATTTTTATTGTCTTATCCCTGATTTTGGGTGTTCATCGAAATCCTGGCATTATGTATTATTATATGAGCTTTTTGCTTTTAACAGTTTCAGAGTATTTATTATCATAATTAGGATTTTTTAGCCTTTAATCTGATAGATAGGCTAATCTAGATTATAAAGGCTGGATTAAACAATTGCAGTAGGTTTCATCAAATCAGTAAATGTTCCATTACTTTGATGTCTTTCTTTTCCTACAAAGAAATGGATCCTATCCGAGGCAAATGGATAATTTAAAACTCCGAAACTGGCCACACGATCGATGTTCGACTCACGAACTGTGAACGTTACATAATTGTGAACCAATTGTTTGATATATAGGATCATAGATATTGATTGAGTTGGTCTACAATGAGCGTTTCATTTCCTCTTTATGAAGGCTAAACAATGGCAAGGTTCCTTCACCTTGCTCCAGGGGTTGCTGCTGCTGCTGCTGCTGCTGCTGTTTTTTCTTCAAGGTTGAAATGTTACCGATTTCTCTGAGGGGTGAACGTCTGATCGGGAGAAGTCCGGCTGTGCATGTTTGGGACTTCCGTCTTCTGTCTCTTACGAGATCCTTTGGACTGGGATCGTCTTCCATTAAGCGACAAGCGAGTACCCTCTTCTCTGTTTCAGTGTTTGTTTCTTGATAGATCGGTGAAGCAATTTGAGCTCGAACTACTTTTCTATCTCGTTCCTTCATCAATCTCTCGACCTCTTGACGAAGGACATATATTTGTGTCTGTACCTCATTCGCCTTCACTTCGGATGAGAGAGCTCTCTGTCTCCATTCTTTCACCTAATGAAATCACAACCAACATGTTAAGCAAGTACAAGTGAAGTATGATTGTTTTAGTAGTTCTTAAGTAGCTTATGAAAATCTTACAGCAGATTGCAGGGATTGAATCTGATAGTCGGAATCGAATGCTCGATCTTCCCAGAAATCGCGAGACGCATGCAATTCATCCATCTCGTCCCTTACCATCCCCAGCATGTCCTGCATCTGGGACCATTGTTCGGTCTCGGCACGAATTTGCTCTACAATCCTATGCACAATGGCCTTGCAATGCCCTGAACACACACTTGCCTCTTGGGGCATTTTCTCCTGAAAAAAACAATGTCAAACAATCAATTCCCAAACCAAAATCAACAAGAAAGAAGACAATCGTTTCTCACATTGCGGTTATGATCATCCCCTTCGCTGCAGATTTTGACCGACAAGCTTGCTTCGGCCATATCTCGAATCTCTTTCAGGCATAGTTCTTCATCAGATGTTCCTTTAAGCCGGAATTTCTCAAGCTGCTTCTGGAGAGAAGAAACTCTTTTATCAAAGTTACTGCATTTTTTCACCTCCAAGTCTTTAACAAGTGATCTCTTTTGCATTTTCTCTATATTCTCCACTAATCCATTGATCTGCTCCTCCAGTAATACCATGTTCACGTCCTTTCCTTCACAAATGTTCTTTCTTCCCTGTGAAAACCAAAGCCAAAAAGCCATTATTAAGCAAATGAAGACAAAAAACAAGAAATAGACATGTGGTCTGTAAAGAAATTTAATAGAGATGCAAACTGGGAAAATACTATAAATAAATAAATGCCTGCATACCACATTCTGTCAACTAAAACCCGAGCGATATTTTCTCGAGAACCAAACAGACAATAATCAAAGAAAAAGAAGGGAGGACAAGAAACCTACGGAAAGTAAAATCTGAGCGGCGTATTTCAAAGTCCTCTCCATGTGAACTCTCCTTCTCTCCGTTTTCTTAACGGCGATCTTTCTCTCCATCCTCAACAAGTTACACTCCGCTCTCAACATCTCAGCTTGGAACTTCCATCTCTCTTCTTCAACAAAGGCTACGCCGCCGCTATTTTCTCTGTTATCCTTTTCAACCACTCCCCTTCTTCTCCTCTCGTCGTCACTCTCCCTCGAACTCATCGGCATCACCGGAACAGTCCCTCTCGTAAAAGACCGTTCCTGATCAAACAATCTCTCCAGCATCACCCCTTTTCTCTCCTTGTGAGAACCGGGTAGTTTCGAAGGACTCGCCTTGGGTGGTTTCCTCCGAGGCCGGCGTGGCAAATGGATGATTCTCGGAATTGGCTGCGCAGGCGGGTATTTCCATTTCGCTCTCCTTGTTATGGTTGTTCCCATTGATATCCTCTCCATGCCAAAAAAAAAAAACTCAATCTTTGCTCGGTTTTGAAAATGCTGAACTCCCTTGGTATACTATAAGTGGTATATTCACCTTCACTGCATTACTAATACATTATTTTTCTTGAGAAGAGATTTCCTTTTTGAAAATTTAAGAGATTGTCTATGATTGGGTACTCAGTTTTAATTAGTTAGAGACAGTGAGAGTTATGCCTAACGTTTGCAAACTGTTCTCCTTTATGTTTGTCTGAAACAAAAAATGAATAATTAAATGAACGCAGAGGTTGTTTTGTCCTTCTTTGGGGGTCTGGTACTCTGGTTTCACATCAGATAAAATGACAGACCCGTGTGGATATGGAAGCTAAGCACAAGGCAACACTGTGAAATTTTTGTAGCTTTGGGTATTTCAAATGATATTTTAAAATTTTGTTTTCAAGGAATTTGATAAAAGAAGTAAAATATTCTGCAGGACCCAAAGAATTGATTATAAAATAGGTGGGGTTAGTGCGATACATTTAGCAATCAAACTGAAATAAAATTACCTACTCATACGAGAAAGTCTAACGTACGACAGTCTTAATATACAGTTATAAAATAGGTGGCTTCTAGGCCGGTGATTCTCTCTCTACCTTCGTATTGGCTCTTTGTCTCTCTGAAATCTTTTAGTTTCAATAAAATCTTTTAAATAATAAAATATACCTATAATGATCACTTAATTATGAAATATTTTATTTTTTTCAATTAAATTATGTAATTTCTTAAACAATGTCAATAAAATCATTTATTATTAATATTTAATAATAAATCTAGGATTATCTACATAGTTGCTCACTTATGTTTGTGTTTTGTCCATTTTTACTTATTGATTTTAAAAAGACATAATATATGGTCTCTCTCGTATTTATTTAATTAAGATGTGGTCACCACATGTTAAATATCGTTAAATATTTTAATATAATCACATATTTGGTTTCTATTATTTATATATTCTCTCAATTTCGTCCTACTTTTAATAAATTAAAATAAACTTAATCCTCAAATCGAATGATGTCATGTGTTATTGGTATCATGTGTCACCATTCGATTGCAGGACTAACTTTTCAAAGTATTGGTGAAAAATAAATATATTAAATTAAAATAAAATTAATCATCCAACCGAATGGTGATACGTGACACCAATGACAAGTGACATCGTTTTTGAAGGATTAAATTTATTTTAGTTTATTAAAAGTATGACTAACTTGAGATAATATATAAATAACATGGACCAACTGTGCGATTATACCAAAATACCACGTCACCTAATATGTTAATTCTTAACGTCAATTAACCTGTGGTGACCATATCTTAATTAAATAAAAAACGAAAGTGATCGTATCTTACAAATATAAACGAAAATGATCATATATTATGTTTTTGAAATGAATGAGTAAAAGTAGATAAAAAATAAAGACCGACGATGAACCATGTAGTTAACCCATAAATTTAATATAATTATATATCTAATTTTCTTTATTTATATATTTTATCAATATAATCTTAAGTTACTAACTGGTCCAAAACTTCAAATTCGATGTAAACCATTAAATATAAAATCAGAATATAATTTAAACTATATAAAGGACATATTTGGCGTCTAATGTTGAAGGCAGTGTGATTGTCATCTCTCCCCACTGCAATTATTCTTTTCAGCTCTGTTCAAAATAAAATTAACCTTACTTATAAAATACCAGTTGAGATGTTTAATCCTTTTCATCCAATTCAAAATGTAAATATATTTTAATTGAGTTAGAAATTAGATTTTGAAGAATATATCACATCTTATAAAGCTAATGATTTTAGACCTACTAAAAAATCATAACACAAATTAATATATTATATTCTTTTATATTTATCCATATTTAATTTATTGATGAATTAATTTTAAATCGAATCATATAAAAATTTACTACGTGGGTGCTTCTTTTAATATGATTAATTTTATTTATAATATCAAAATTTAAACTTAATTTAAAAGAGTTTAAAATTGTGGTTGGTTAGTACCATAATGCCCCGGGGGGAGGAGGTCAGATCACACAAAACAATGCAATTTTGTGAATTTCATTTGGATGTGAACTGACTCACTGAGTCACTCTGTCCATTTTCACTTTCGACAGTGACCAAGCCCTTTACTTCAGTCACCACACAGATTTAGTATGAATGCACGATTAACCATTAAAGAAAGTCCGTGCCGTTTAAAGTATTTCATGTTTTTAACCGTGGGTCATTAATTCAAAACAATAAATGTGTTCATAATGATGTATTAAATGTTATTTTATACAGTTATTAAATGATTGTTAATATATCAAAATTTAGGGATAGTTGCATGAACGATCCCTGAATTACAATAAATCTTTTAATGTAGTATACGTAACTTCAAATATCTTTTTTGATACTTGAAGTTTCATTCCATCTATAAGAGTTATATGTCTTTGAACTCTGACCCGGTTTTGTTCTGATATCGTTCGAAGAGTGTGTGATACAAATGGTATGATGAATAAATAGATAAAGAAAGAAAAAACACGAAAATTTGTGTAGATGAAATTTGTCTGATATAAGACTATTAAATCAATACAAAACTTTACTTCCCATATTTTATGTATATATATATTTCACAAGGATTTCCATACATTTATCGTAGAAACTTTCTTATAGAAATAACTGTTCGAATCTAAAACTTTTTTTTTTAAATAACACTTCTTTTAATTATTGAAGTAATTTGATGGGTCTAACATTTTAGACTAGGGAAACCAAACAAAGTTGCATCATATCACCTTTATCATCATACTGCATAAGCATTTTCATGTATCTATTATAGAAAAACTTAGTGGGAGGTGAGTCGTCCATGCAAAGGTTGGGAAACATCAAATCACAAGGTTAATTGCCATAAGTTAAGCAACTTCCTCCATCATAGCTTAACATTTTCTGAATCTTGGCTAGTATAAGTGGTTATGATATAAAGCATGAGATACTAAAGAGCAACCATACATGTTTAAGGATCAAGCAATGTCCCAAACATGAAGGATAACATATTCTAACAAGAGAGATCTACCATAAATGCTTAATCTAATAGTAGAATGAGAATTTTACTTGGACCCGATGAGTTCTGATCTGATTCGGTTAAGTTATTTTTATGAAAATAATGTGTTTAGTTCGAGTTTTTTTAAAGGTAGAGTCGAATTGAGTCGAGTTTGAGTTTAGGATAAAAAACAAATCTTACTTGATAGTATAATTATCTCTTATATATTTAGGGATAATTGTAATAATACTTATTTCTATATTTTTTTCTATTAGGTCCTTATTTTATCAAATAAAAATGATTATATATATATAGGTCGGTAGGGTAGGATCGAATTCAGGTTTTGACCTAAAATTAGGTCAAATTTCAAGTCATATCGGATCCTCCTAAATCTGGGTCAGATCGAGTGTGGGTAGGCCAAAAATTCGACCCCACTCATGGCCATCCATATCCCAGACCATTAACTATAAGTTGGTTTAACATATGAGACACTAAGTCTTTTAAACAAAGGTTAAGAGCTTGAATTCTAATGTTGATAGAAAAATTATACAAAGACTCGTCTCTATAGAATTCTATTAAAATTAATCGATCAATATGTTGAATTATGGGTGTTGCTATCATAAAAATTCTTAATTCAAAAGTAATTGTGCCGTAAAGAAGGTTGGATCATAACAACATTCAATTTTTTTTGTTTTATCTTTGGTATTTGTACGCAAGATCAAAAGAATCAAATGGCCGAGGCCCGAGCCTTAAAAATAAAAAGAAGGAAATCCGCTTCACACTGGGCCAGACAAATGAATGTAAAAACCCCAGATTCGGTCTCTTGTTAGGTATAAATACTTCAGTGTCGCCGCTCTTATTGCGCGCTGCAATCGGATTTCTCTATACAAAGCCCTCGTTATTGTAAACGCGTACAATCCAAAAACAAAATGGCTGAGAGAGGAGGAGGTGAGCGTGGCGCTTTCAGGCGTGGCTTTGGTGGAAGATCCGGCCGTGGCCCAAGAGGAAGGCGCCGCGGCCGCAGAGATGAAGAAGAGAAATGGGTTCCCGTTACAAAGCTCGGGCGTTTGGTCAAAGCCGGGAAAATCACGTCCCTTGAGCAAATCTACCTCCACTCTCTCCCCATAAAGGAGTACCAAATCATCGACCAACTCGTTGGCCCTTCATTGAAAGACGAGGTCATGAAGATCACTCCAGTCCAGAAACAAACCCGTGCCGGGCAGCGTACCCGGTTCAAGGCCTTCGTCGTCGTTGGCGATGGAAATGGGCACGTCGGGTTGGGAGTGAAGTGTAGCAAAGAAGTTGCAACGGCTATAAGAGGAGCGATCATATTGGCCAAATTGTCTGTGATACCGGTGAGGAGAGGTTATTGGGGGAATAAGATTGGGAAACCTCACACGGTGCCGTGCAAAGTTACTGGGTAATGCGGGTCAGTTACTGTTAGGATGGTGCCGGCGCCTAGAGGTGCTGGGATTGTGGCTGCTAGGGTGCCCAAGAAGGTGCTTCAGTTTGCTGGGTTTGAGGATGTTTTCACTTCTTCCCGGGGTTCTACTAAGACTCTTGGTAACTTTGTAAAGGTATTGCTTTTATTTTCCTTTTAAAGTACGTTTTTACGAAAAATGTTGGCTTTCGTTATTTAGTATTGATTTCGATTTTGCTTATATCTAGTAGGAAATGGGTTTTAACGTTTAATTGTATGAACTAATTTTGTTTATCTTTATTTTAACTTTTCTATTGTTTAAAGTAATGGGATTTTTTGCTTGGTCTTTGATGAGCTATCTTAGAGTTGGAATGTGTATGTATGAATGCTGGATTAACTCTATATAAATTGTTTACAACTCAACATATAGTGGATTGTCTGTCTTAATTTGGGATATTCATAATTTATGAGTGGCCAGATGTTTTATGGGTTTCAATTTTTTCTTATATCTCTGGTGCAATCCATCATATGTTGGAAAAAGTAATGTTATCTTGAACTTATCTCCTTGTGATTGTAATTGATTTGTTGATGGTGTTGACAGCATGACATAATAAATCTG